GGAGTTGCAATATCAGAAAGAGTATGGATGGATGGATGGAGGATGGATAGATAGAGGAAAGATAGATGAGAGAGAAAGAGAGAGAGAGAGAGAGAGAGAGAGAGAGAGAGAACATCAGACAGTGTTTAAAACATGACTATCTGCCACCATTCTTTCATCTGCGTGAAATAGATAGAGAGATATGAATAGATAGAGGACAGAGATATTTAATAGATAGAGAGAGAGAGAGAGAGAGAGAGAGAGAGAGAGAGAGAGAGAGAGAGAGAACATCAGACAGTGTTTAAAACATGACTATCTGCCACCATTCTTTCATCTGCGTGAAATAGATAGAGAGATATGAATAGATAGAGGACAGAGATATTTAATAGATAGATAGATAGATAGATAGATAGATAGAGAGAGAGAGAGAGAGAGAGAGAGAGAGAGAACATCAGACAGTGTTTAAAACATGACTATCTGCCACCATTCTTTCATCTGCGTGAAATAGATAGAGAGATATGAATAGATAGAGGACAGAGATATTTGATAGATAGATAGATAGATAGAGAGAGAGAGAGAGAGAGAGAGAGAGAGAGAGAGAGAGAGAGATGAATAGAGGATAGATAGATAATAGATAGATATAGACAGATGATAGACAGACAGACATAGACAGATAGAGATAGATAGATAGATAGATAGACAGATAGACAGACATAGACAGATAGATGGATAGATAGATAGACAGATAGACAGACAGACAGATAGATAGATAGATAGATAGATAGATAGATAGATAGATAGATAGACAGACAGACAGACATAGATAGATAGCTAGATAGACAGACAGACAGACATAGACAGATATAGATAGACAGACAGACAGACAGACGATGGATGAATATAAAGGGATCTCAGAGAACTGGACATAAAGGTAGTTCTTAACTTACGACCATTTCTTTAGCAATTGTTTGAAGTTATGAGGCACTGAAAAATTCTACTCCTTTTATATTTATTTATTGTGAAATTTATGTGCTGCCCACCTCATGTAGAAGCGATTCTGCAAAAAGTATTTCTGTTTTATCCTATCCTATCCTATTCTCCAAAGCCCCTGAAGGACAGGACAAGAAGCAAAGGATGGACACAAATCTAGGAAAGACGCAACCTGGAATTACGGAGAAATTTCCTGACGGTGAGAACAATTCACCAGTGGAACGACTTGCCTCCAGAAGCGGAGAATGCTCCAACACTGGAAGCTTTTAAGAAGAGACTGGACAGCCACTTGTCTGAAAGGGCATAGGGTGTCCTGCCTGAGCAGGGGGATGGACTAGATGATCTCCAAGGTCCCTTCCAATTCTATTATTCTGTTTTAACCTGTGTTAATCAGCCCCCTTTTCACATCTCTTTGTCATTTCATCTCCAATCCTGTCTTTCGTTAAGTTGGGCTGAACTTGTCATCATCTCTCTCCCTACCCCATTTTCTCCTAAAGCTGACAGAATTAAATTATCAGAAAAGGAGAAAGGAAATCGAAAAATAGACAGGATGTGGGATTACTCCGTGCAGCTGCAACGGAATTCAGCTCATAAAGACTCCGGGCCTTGAACTGGGTGTCAAAGGGTGCCTCCGGGAAAGAATTCAGTTTGAAACATGTTGGGCTGAAACACACACACACAAGCACACACACACACACACACACACACACACACACACAGAGGCACACATAGAGGCATGCACAGATACACGGGCACGAACCCAGCAAAGCACCCAGAGGTCTTTTGATTGTCTTTTCCAAACAAATAGACATTTGTTACGTCAAATTCCTGGAAATGCATTTTCTTGAGTGACTGTTAAGTGTGCAATACAGTAGTAATAAAACAGCTGCGGTGTGCTTTCTGCTCTTCCTTGGAACCGCAACGCAGCATCCCTGGGAGAGCGAGTATGGCTGTATTTGCCCTAAATGTAATTCTCAATGAGCTCTTTCTTTTGATGGTCTAATGGTGGTGGATCCAAAGGGATCCATCCATTTTCCAAATATTTCCACCCAAATAGGTCAATCTGTTTTTCAAAGTCTTCCTTCTCCTTCTCCCCCACTATGCTCCGCAGACCCCACTCCCTTCTAGCACTGATGATGTTCCCTAGTTGGGTCATGAAACATCTGCAAGAAAACCACCAAGCTCAGAGGGCACTAAGGATGCTACAGTTCTTCTCCTTCTTCTTCTTCTTCTTCTTCTTCTTCTTCTTCTTCTTCTTCTTCTTCTTCTTCTTCTTCTTCTTCTTCTTCTTCTTCTTCTTCTTCTTCATCTTCTTCTTCTTCTTATTCTTCTTCTTCTTCTTCTTCTTCTTCTTCTTCTTCTTCTTCTTCTTCTTCTTCTTCTTCTCCTTCTCCTTCTCCTTCTCCTTCTCCTTCTCCTTCTTCTCCTCCTCCTCCTCCTCTTCGCAAACTCCTCTCCCTTTTAGCCCTGATGATGTTCCCTAGTTGGGTCATGAAACGTCCGCAAGAAAACCACCCAGCTCCGAGAGCAC